AGGGAGTGATGCATCAGATACCAACTGCAAATAATATGAGACGCTGTCGATTGAAATAAGGAAGAGAATTTAACGAAACGGGGAGCCTCACCAGCACGTGGATCTGCATTCTAAAGAAACAACAAAAATCCTTACGTGCTGTTTGTATTGTTGTGCAGTAAACCCACCGGTCTATGCGTGACTTGCAAGCAAGGAGCTACACGCGGTATTTAAATTTTAAACCATTTTTCAAACTTATGGCTGTGCACCACAAGGAAACATGTAAAACGCCAGCGATTAATGTGTTTTTAAAATGAAAACAAAATTACGTTGGCCAAACCAAAAAAATATTATCAAGCGATAGCCTTTACAACTGGAAACTGGACATTTTTGTCACTAAGTAAATCACTCTCTCCGCTCTCTCCCCATTCCCCTTCTCTCTCTCTCTCTCTCTCTCTCTCTCTCTCACACTCACTCACTCACTCAGTTAATATTGCCAGGTATCTCTCCCACTAGCACCGCCCTTCTCTTCACGTTGCATTCGAATAGGTAAAAAATAGTGTATACACACACGAGTGCATAAAACAGATTCACACAAACATATACACGAAAGAATACGCACAGGCGCAAACAGAAGTATGCACATGTAAATATAAGCACACAAAAACACGCACACGAACACACGCAAGAGCACGCACACGCATACACCCTCTTCATATTCAAAAACAGCAAATGCCATTGAAGAAAACATGCCTCCAGCCATTCGATAGTCTGAATGTGCTATTTTATTCCTCTGTCTGGACGATATTATGATATAAATAAGTAAATTTAAGTAATTACGAACTGAATGCACTATAGAGCGCAATATTCTTTCCATTCCACCATTTATCTTCTCTCTTGATGTTTCCATTTTCTGGCCTTTTTTTCGTATCATTCCCCCGTCGGTGTCATTTTAATATGAACTTCTCCTTTTAAAGAGTGTCATTATTGCCACACAGAATACATCATGCACAATCATTTATACATCATCGATGCACTTCCATTACCGCGCTTCACCTAAATCTTTTCACCCAGTTTCCTTTATTCCCAGGTAACGTGATGTAGATAAATTCATTTTCCCCTAGCATACTTGAAATGTCATTCTTACCTGTCTGGGAGAGAGAGAGAGAGAGAGAGAGAGATGTACTATGTGTATCTCACATTATTTGTCTAGCCCTCCATAAAGTGTTGCATTTTATCTCGGTCAGAAATCTATGTTACCAGTCGTCCGGGTGCTGGATATCTTGATACAATATCTGTTTGGTAAATGAGGTAATTATATCTACGGAAAACCATCATGCGAACCTTCCTAAGACAATGGCACGGACACCGAGAGAATCTGTATCTTAGCACCACTTATGTACCTGTATCGCGACAGGAGCCACTGGGAGTTAATTGTTGGAGTTAATTGTTTCCACACTTAAATGAAAATCAAGCAACCAAATAATCGCGTCATTGCTTCGGGAATGCATTTTTGCAGTTTTGAAACAGACAAGAAGACGCGTGTTTTTCAAAGTCGTCCTTGCATTTAATAAAAAAAACAACTCATATACGCACTATGTAGATACAATATATCACACAACCTTATTATACTAGTATATGTATAACATACATATATGCATACACATGCATATATGATATATTATCTAGACACAAAAGAAGTACTATATCTGCCCTACCTACAGTATCTCCTTCACGCCACCACTGCAGCATGGACCCTGTACTGTATACCTTGGCCTATTCCTTGATATACCTCTAGCTTACACCATGCAAGCCAAAATTATGTATTTGATACACATAACACACATACAGCCTTTCCTATGTATACCAGCCAACGACTATAATATATTAGAAAATGAAAAGGAAATAAACTGTGGAAAAGGAACTTATGCTGCACTACCAGGAAAGGATGTTTTTGTAATGTATGATACCGGTCGATGTGAGTGCCTAATGTCATTAAAGCCTAAGAGCGCATTCTCAACGAATTAAGCCAGGCTTTACAAAGCCGGTGACCTAAAAATGGCGGACGTCCATGAAAGAAAAACCGCCTAATCTTTTAATAGTCTCTCCGCCTCTCACACGCCTCCCCACACGTCGTCCCTGCGGGGTACAGTAATTAAATCTCGGCTCCGAACATTAATATTTCCGTGAATATCTCTGGTGATATTATCTCCGTAGATAGTCGATTCATTGCNGAGAGATGTACTATGTGTATCTCACATTATTTGTCTAGCCCTCCATAAAGTGTTGCATTTTATCTCGGTCAGAAATCTATGTTACCAGTCGTCCGGGTGCTGGATATCTTGATACAATATCTGTTTGGTAAATGAGGTAATTATATCTACGGAAAACCATCATGCGAACCTTCCTACGACAATGGCACGGACACCGAGAGAACCTGTATCTTAGCACCACTTATGTACCTGTATCGCGACTGGGAGTTAATTGTTGGAGTTAATTGTTTCCACACTTAAATGAAAATCAAGCAACCAAATAATCGCGTCATTGCTTCGGGAATGCATTTTTGCAGTTTTGAAACAGACAAGAAGACGCGTGTTTTTCAAAGTCGTCCTTGCATTTAATAAAAAAACAACTCATATACGCACTATATAGATACAATATATCACACAACCTTATTATACTAGTATATGTATAACATACATATATGCATACACATGCATATATGATATATTATCTAGACACAAAAGAAGTACTATATCTGCCCTACCTACAGTATCTCCTTCACGCCACCACTGCAGCATGGACCCTGTACTGTATACCTTGGCCTATTCCTTGATATACCTCTAGCTTACACCATGCAAGCCAAAATTATGTATTTGATACACATAACACACATACAGCCTTTCCTATGTATACCAGCCAACGACTATAATATATTAGAAAATGAAAAGGAAATAAACTGTGGAAAAGGAACTTATGCTGCACTACCAGGAAAGGATGTTTTTGTAATGTATGATACCGGTCGATGTGAGTGCCTAATGTCATTAAAGCCTAACTCTTTCCTTCTAACCGCCGCATTAATCTATTCGGTGGCATGCGACTGTCGGTTTTAACTTCGGTTGTTTACCGAATACTTATTTACAAGTTAAACTGCATATTAGCTCGATCCCTTTCACATTTAAGGGCCACGTAATTAGGACATTTGGAGCTGCGTTTATTTCCGTGTGTTAGTTTATTTATGAGAGTAGGTGTCCTGTTGTTTGCTACGCGATCATTGGCAGGCGCGGCGAGACTAAGGTAGCTTACAGGCTCAGGTGTAAAGAGAGGACAAACAAGCAAATATATAAACAAATAGATAAATTTGATATTTAGCTCTATTACATAATGCTTTTAATGAATGACTGTCACAGTCAAAGTATACATGTATTTGCAAAGGAGGCATGCGATCGTAAAATGCAGAGTGGAAAAGATACAGATATACATGCACCAGACCAATGTGTTTTTGTACGGGAAAAAAGTCATATGTTCGTGTCATGGAATGAGAGGGACAAGGGTTACTGTAAACAACTGATTAGCGAAGTTAAAATAAAAGCGGCAAAATAGATGCACATATCATATACGAGTACACCCAGCCAGTTAAACAGAGTTAAAACCGTCTATCTTAGTGGCGTGGTGTCATTGAAGATGCTAGAGCCCGATTCTGACCAACGCATAACTACAATCTGACCAATAAACTGCACCACCGTGCATAATTTGCCGTGATTTTAAAGTCAAGATAACTCCTGGCCCCTTTTTTGATCAGGACACGACGTTCTCTTTAAGTCCACCGCGAGCACGGTGCAAAGACTATCTACCTGATCTCAATCAAACCATTTATCCACAGTATTGTTTATCTATTCTGAAATCACCCCTGGGCCCTATCAGAATAGAGGACAGACTGCACTTCGGCAATTTGGGTGCAATTATGCAAATAACGATGTCCTGATTGTCAATATTCATAATTCATCTAATGTCGGCACGATTTTAACCCCTTTTTAAAGCTCTTTGCATTATGCTCTTTACAGTCTCTCTAAGTTAAACCCAGCTTATCATTTATTTTGTTCAAAGGCACATTTCACCTACCCCTTTTTTGCACTTCGCTTCTTTCTCTTCCCTGTCTCTAAATTTAATCTCTTCTGTCTTTCATCCCTTCCGTTCAAAGTGAAAGTTCTACTACCCTCTCGTCGTGTGGCAGTCAAACAGGAGACAATCATAAGCAAGCAATCACATTAAATGAATGTCGGCAAGATTCGTGTCGTAGGTAACCTCAATATATTGCACACAGTTAAAGTTGCAGTCAATTCGAAGAAATGACAGCAGCAGCAATGTGATCATCGTGTTTTCCGTACGTTACAAGGAACACGCCGCGGTGAATGGTCCGTCGCTGCGGTTTTTTGCATGGAAGCCGACGTGCGGTTAGGCTTTAACGAGTGACATAGCGACCCACGCAGCCGTGACACGTGTTAAGAGGAGGACTGATGCTGTTTGATATATAGCCCAGTTGGAAATTCATTTCTTCTCTCTCTCTCTCTCTCTCATTCTCCACCCGCTAACACATGTACAAAAGCCATTTGATATATAGCCCAGTTGGAAGTTCATTTGGTCTCTCTCTCTCGCTTTGAAATTTTATGGACATTTTTTGCATCATCTCAACAGTGCATTCCGTTTTCGTCTTCGTAAATGAAGACGCGGTTAATAATTTTACAATTTCCCACGAGTCGATTATGATGTTTCGACTAAAACCAGAATAATAATCGTCAACTATGGGAAAGCGTGCTATTGTAATAGACGCAGTGTCATCGACTTTTGACTGGATAAGATATGACAAACCAACACGGAAATTACTAAAAAATTCAACTCACAAAACTCTGCACCAAACCAATGGGAAAAAAGCAAAAATCAACATAATTGGAACGCAAATAACAGAATATAATAATCAGGTATAAAACAATTCATATACAAAGAAACAACACGTTACTCACGTAAAAATCAACGCTGTGTGAAAGACCGGCAGCTACACCGTCCTGAGTGGTGACATTTCTCTGTATGCGACCGACGAGTACTGACAAGAAGATGGGGGAATACTCGGAGATTCTCGCCTGATACCAACCATAATCACTGCTCTCTGTTCTTTGTCCGCACACGATCATACACACGCCCAGGCACAATTAAAGCGACTGGTGGCCCCGGAACAGGGACAAAACCGATGATTGATAAATAATTCATGATTCTGGCAAAGGTGATTAGGTAAAGAAGGGACTGAGTGTGAATTAAACAATGCCACTGTATTTATGCTAATGTTTTTTTTTCTTTCGAGGGGGGGGGGGGCGGCCGGTTAAAAGATTGGGTAAAGGCGATGGCGGTTTTAGTCCGCTGTTGCTTATCTTACCTGTTGTCTTTTATACTATTCTATGAATTTATGATGTGATTTCTTGACATTTGAGTGATAATTGTTTCAAAAATCTTTTCTAAAGAAACACAAAAGAGCAGGATAAAAGCCTGTTTACAAGTGTTCGGTATTGGCAATACTTCATCAGTTCAAAGGAGACTGTAGGCGCGAGTGGGGAAGCATTATTTTCCTAGACCCTCATTTATTTTTCAGGGCAGATATTCTCGAAAGGACAATCGAACGATTATTTAAGAAAATTCTCTTATCTCCAGGATCGCGTCTCTAAATAGAAAGTTCCACAGAATACTATCATTATAAACGCTGGCATGTTACGTGCAATAACACGTCTGCTGGAGAATGCAGAGAACAGACGAGCGAACAGGAGACAGGACTTCATAAGTGCGGCTTTCTTGTCACGTATTTTTAATAAATGCTTCTATCAGTGTAATTTAAGTCATTTGTTTGGTGCCACCCCATCTGAGTGGTATTGACTCTATCGGATCTTTTATCATACAACATTTTCCCTATACTTTTTATAAATGGCTTTAGACAAGAGGTAATATAGATAAATGGCTACATGAACCAGTATGTATGCTCTCAGATACCCCTGCGTCACGCCCTCAGAGCGTTGTGGTGCTAACTCAGAGCGTCTTACATTTGGAATGTATTTTAAGGCCATCTTTAAGGCTAAATGTCGTAATCGTAGAGTATTTAGTTAGCTAATCAATTCAATACCTGGTTTTTTAGAGCAAAGTTATGAATAATACTAGTAGAAGACTGCTTTTGCATGGATAATATGTTTTAAAAAAGCAGAGAACAATCCTGGTGCGAAGGTCTGGTCCCAGTGTGACAGGAATGGTGGTCCAGGAGACACTCGTCCCATATACTAACCCCAATACTCCGGCTAACCCTGACCTGTACTGTCATATGGGACCGTCACCTGGACTTCCATCCCTAGGAGCACCTTTCCGGAACGTTCCAGTCTCGCACCATCGGCTTCTGGCGACACAGCGCACATAAAGGTCGGTTTCACAAAAAGCATTTCATTTCATTTTGGGATAAATCCCTATTAGTTCTCTAAATATGAGTAATTATGTTGGTATAAAACATAATTAAGCAAGCCATTTATTTCTTTTTATATAAAGGTCATGTAAGGGGACAGCAGCGTGCACTGAGTCAAAGCAGACGAGATTAAAAAAAAATGGGTGCAAAGTGATGACCAGCTTTACATTTCGGTCTTAAGTTCTGTTGTGTCATCCAGGACAGGTGTGGAGACTGCAGGGGCAGTGATGCTGTGAAGATACTGAAGCGTGTACCCTGTAATTTGTCAATCTGCACTCGAGATTTTAGGCTAGTATGCGATGGTCAAGCTGAAATAATATTCATCTTATCGCGATGTCCAGGTCTTTTACAGCGATAACTATGATAGGAACGCGATACAGAACTTCGCAGACGACATTGAAACGCACCGGCTAGAAATAACCTCTATTGTTTAGATGTATGCATTTTTAACAATTTTGATGTAAACTTTGAAAATATCGAAGCAGATAGACGGTTGGATAGATAATCACAGTCAATAGTTAATAATGAAATGCTACAGACTTGGGTTGGTAAGGGGGAACCTAGTTGGGAGGGGTTGGATATTTTAAGCCGGGTTGCCAAATGTAGGCCAGAAATAAATGACCTTTTTTTCATGTTCACGGCTAGGCCTTGCAACTTGAGGAGGTTTACTTCACGACTGTGGCTTTTTGTCACATAGGACTTTTCCCCTTCTTTGATGAAATGTATTTCCATTTTTTTTTTTTTTTGGCTTAACCACTAATACCACTAATACCCCC